GTGCTTTATAGAAATGCAATGCCATGTCTTCAATTACAAACCACTTTTTATACCAATACTTCTTACCTAACACATTGGTTGAACAGTGAAACAAACGTCCTTTGAAATCAACATCATCAAGTCCATCATCACTCTGTATATCCTGAAATTCAATCATCAAATAATATTAATATTTTAAATATTGGGTAAATAAGATATCCATCAATCAACACAGATACAATCACTGACACCAAGAAATATTAAAGCTGTATTCCAACTTAGCAAATCTGAATATATCAAATAAAGAGATTGTGAATAGGTAATGAAAAATTGACTGCATCATATGAATTCAAGCTGACTTCTTTAACCTTGTTCACTCATGCCCAGCGTTTAACTCTGAGCTGAGCTGAACTAAACTTGACTAAAAAATAAAACACAGGCTCAGCCCTATAGGTGTACTTTCACAATACTCATACATGAGGTTCATGCACGCTTTCGAATGAAAGATTGTTTTTACCTGTGACTGATACCTTTGTAGTGTGTCAACATCAGTTTCGTCTTTCTCAGCCATCATCTGAATGCTTTGTAAAATATCATAGCAGTGTTTACAAACTCTATTCAAACGATTTCCATCATACTTGAGTTTAACTCGATATGTAGAGCATTTGTTGCACACAACCTGGAAGCAAATGTAGGAAATAAAGTGATAAACTGTAGGCATTCATTCTGACATTCATTATGTTCATTTCATTTTATTGTACGTGGACATCTTCGGCCATCTTGTATTCAATAACAAAACATATGTATGATATAATGTGTGATGAGTGTGAAGTTTGAGTGAAATCAGCCCAGGTATACCCAAGTTGCAGGTACAGACAGACACGCGCACAGACAGACACACAGACACAAATCGGAACAGAGACTCATTAGTACCAGTTCTAGCAAGGAATTTAATTCCTATTCATACGATTTCATGTACATCATGTACAGTCCAAATGCCTGGTGCAAATTTTAATATAATCTCAATATATTTTCTCCGAGTTTGTATAAAGTGGTCTTGAAAATCTGGGTCAAGAACATCAACTGATCCTCCTTTGTAAAAGAATATACATGTACAGTTAAACCTGTGTATAGCGACTATCCAAGGAACTCCATTAAAAATGGTCCTTATAAACAGGTGATTGTACAAGTAACGACAGATCAAAGTAGACAAGCTATAAAACACAACTTACCAGTCCACATGCTCTACAATGATGCCTTCTCTTTTTTATAGGATGGAATTCAGCAGCACATCGCATACACTGTGTTGTTTCATCATCTCGCACCCACGAGGGCGCCCTCTTGCCTATATCACAAGCATCCTATGAAAAATACAGACAATAATTTATATGTAGATGACAAACGTGACATGATGGCATTATTTTACTGTGATGTCACATGTTCAAACCATTCTGATACTATCAGATTTGACTTGTTAACATCAATTAAAAACAGTATGTAGGGAAATACCAGTACAAAAAAAACAAAAAAACAAGCCAGAAACATTTTCAGTATACATGTATTGGAACAGTTGTATTCAAAATCATCAAAGTGTAATTTATATTTTACACATGAGCTTTCTGTTAACAAAATGCAATGGTGAATTACGTTTGTGTTTTCTAATCAGAGTAAACTGGTATACATGTGATAAGTAATTTACTGATATTTACTATATGGGGCCAGCTATATTTTTCAAAACCAAAATCATCATCCAACTCAGGAGCCAATCAGTGACAGCCTTACATTTTGATGACGATTACCTCAGAAAAGTGTTTTGTGTTCTTCATGTAATTAGATGTTAGTATGTAAGGCATTTTTCCACACAAAAATGACAAATTCTCAACTTGTCTCTTTAGTTTCAAGTCGTATTCCAGATGGATGCCCCTAATGATAAATACCTGAAGTCAGCTGATAGTGGGTCAAATGCTGAATATTGTAAACTAATTAAATTTCATGACAAACTAATTTTTGAAAAAAGTCAGCAGTGAAAATTTCACTGTGTTCCTAAAACCACAAAGTCATAGGGATTTTCATGGTGGTGTCTGCCTAAACTTTTCATCAGTAATACGACTAACTATGTTTGACAAAGTCGACAGTAGAGCTAACAAAACAAGCTGGGTCTTAACAGATAGCAGAAGTCTTAAAGCACTAATA